CTTCACATTGGCATTATCCTAGAGAATATCAGAAAGATGGAGAGAGCATGGAAAGGACTGAATAAAGTCCCTTCCACATGGGTAATGAAATAGAAGGAGGCAATACTGCAAAACCTACTTGTATTAACTAGCACCTAAGGAACTCTAGATGACAGAACCAGGCTTTTCTGGAACATGAGGAATCCCAAATGGCTGAATAGATTTATATTCTTTTTTTCTTCCATTTTAGACACCTTTACTGTGCATCTTTGGAGAAAACTTATATTTAACAATTTTAATCTCAGCCTAGACCTGAGATAACCTGATACTGAAAGTTAGCAAATTGTACTGAATATTTCTTTTTGCCTCTGTTTCTCACTTAGAGCAGTGTAATGAGGAATACTCTTCAGGCAGACAGATGTGAGTGTTTGCTACCCAGCTCCTGCAGGAAAATCCTGGCACCATAAATATTAGTTAGCAAAACCATGGAAAGAAGGCAGCTGACCTGAATGAATGGCTGGTACAAACATTCAGAGATTTAGCTGATGTTACAGACATTTTAAGCTACAATCGAGTGGGAACAAAACACCTTAAAGCTACAGTATTGGTTAGTTTCCCACAGGCTGAAGCCAGTGAATTAAAAAAAAAAAAAATAAAGTTCAATTCAGAAGAAAATCAAGAAAATTCAGATACTTTTTCCACCAGTGACTGAGAGGCCAAGACCCAAGCTGCCACTGAACAGGTACGTGGCATTGATTAAACTGTGCTTAGTCTCATTAAGTGGGGATTCGCACTCCCTCGCCACTTCTTTTTTTCAGTATCATTAACCTGAAAATATCTCTTACCTCTGTGAAAGTGCCTTCTGCTTTCCACAGCTTAACACACATCCACAAAGGGATACAGATCATGGAAGAGAGTGCCATCATCCACCCTATGCCATAGCCCCAGTCAGGATATATATACACATTGTTGTATTTCAAAGGCTTGTATTTCACCAGGAAAAAGATGAAGATTCCCTGAAATAAGCAGAGAAACATTAGCAGTATTTGAAAAAAACCTATGGAACAAGAAAAAGATTGGCTGTTTAGGCAAGGCCCGTCTCCCTAAAGATGGAAAGTCAAAGACAAAAATAAATAGACAGCAATATCTTTTAGGTACAGCTTAAATAAAATGTCTCTGTAGCTTCCACAGGAATGAATAACCTTTTAAGTTTAAATCCTATTTACCTGTCGATGACAATAAAACCCGCACTTTGATGGCAAACAGCACCTGGGCTGGAAAGATTAAATTCTGCTGCCATGAGCCAGCTGTGATGAAGTAACACAAGCTGTGTTCTCTACAACTTGTTGTGATGAAAAAAAAGACAAAATTTTCAAAGTTGCCTTAATCCACTATCTGTATCTGCAGTCCTGCAGACCAGCTCTTTCATCCTCACAAAAGCTCAAATATAACTCTCCGAATTCAACATGTGTCTCATCAGGCAGTTTGGAACATTGAAGTTTATGAAATACAGAAAAGTTGCTCGGTACTTTTCTCCAAAGTGGTGAAAAGGGTGTACGAGAGCAAGTGATAAGTTCATTTCAGAGTGGGTGAATATGTGCCAGAAATTTTTCCAAGTTTGCAAATGAACTGCCAGAGGTCAAGGGAACCTGTATCTCCATCTCCCCCAGCACCTGTGGGTTTGCTGTTCCTATCATTTACATGTTGGACAGCTGGAAGGTTTTAGTATTTAATTCTCAAATTATTATGGTCAATGTGGTCATGCCTCTTCTGTAATTTTGTCCCTGTTGTGTAGCCACAGCAGACTGCCAGAGTGGGCACCAGTACTACTAGCTTCTGGGAAAGCAAGTTCCTTCCTCTTCTTGCATATGAGATGTGCTTTTGGCCTCTACTACTTTTGCTAGAGGCAAACATGTCCTGTCTTCTTTGAAAAACATCTACTCACACAAATTGAGGGAAGAAAATCGGAGGCCGGAGCAACAAGGAAACCAGCACAAACCTGCAGGAACTGGAGTTATGCTAGGTGAGCAAAAGGTATACTACTGATGCACTGAAAAAAGCCTCTGTTGTATTGGAAAATGTTCATTTAGGGCTCTGAGTTTATTTTTTTCCTATGATTAGGAAGATTTCTAAGACTTGTTACAATTCACACAATATTTCATAATTTCTGCAGATCCTACAGAGGTGTACATAAGCTACAAATCAACGTGTGTTTTTCTCAGAAGTCATGAACTATTAACAGTCGTCTAAAAATATGCACAGAAAACCTTCTTTAAACCAACTTACATGGATATTCTGTACTTACTGCGCAAATACCTGGAGTTAAGACCATCCAGCACCATTTAATCAATGACAGTGGTTTGTACCCAATCATATCTTCAATGTTATCATAAAAGCGATTGCTGCCTGCCCCAAAAAAAACCAAAAAGTAGATGTAGACTGTACATGTAAGAGGTTGTATAGGTCAGTATTTAAATCAACAAAAGGCAAACCAGGTTCTTGACAGAGCTGCTCTATCTCTCTTCTCAGTACACAAGTCTCTGTCTCCTCCAAACTTATGGCAGAGGATTTATCCCTGCATTTATCTGGCAAAAGTGGAAGGGAACATGCCCTGCACAGATGCTTTGTGAGAGAAGAAGGACGTTGCCACCACTGCTTTCTACAGCAGCTGAGGATTTCCTTGGTGAAAGACGGTGGAGGTCAGTCCCCGCAAAGACCAAAGGGGTGAAAAAATATCTACTCACCTACTCATATTCAAAATATTTTTGTTATTTAAGGTGGAAAAAAAGGCATTCCT